CTGGCTGGAATGAGGCTATGAATCAAAGATTCTTTTAAAAAAAAGTCTTTCCCAAGTACTAACATTTTCAGATAAAGTCTTGCCCTGAAAATGCCCTACTAGTTGGCATGAATTTATTATCACGTATTCTAGGTCAGGGCTTTTCAACCTTTTCACCCATTGTACCACTTTTAGGATATAGCAACATCCAAGTACCACCAGTCGCCTAGCAAGGTATCAAAAACTTGATGACCAAAAAGGAAAAAAGTGATAAAGTACAGGTAGTCCTCGACTTATAACAGTTCGCTTAGTGACTGTTCGAAGTTACAATGGCACTGAAAAAAGTGCCCCCCAAGCCACAGCCAAGCAAAACACCTGCCTGCCCGCCCGGTGGCGCTCTTCCTCCCATCCGAGGTTTTCATTGTTGTGAGCATTTCTGTTGAGGATTGGCAGCAGGGGTGGGGTGGGGGGTGTTTGGTTTTTATTTCCCCCCGTCTGCTGGGTGGTTGCAGTAGGTTTTGGTCACTTCACATGACTCTGGGACACTGTGACCATCATAAATATGAATCAATTGCCAAGCATCTGAATGTAAATCACAAGACCCTGGAGATGCTGCAACATTCCAGCTGATCGCCGCTTCTTCTGGACTCAGCAGAAGCACCAGGATCAGTGCTGTTTTCCAGCTGATTGGTGCTTCTTCAGGTCTCAGCAGAAGCATCAGGATCAGCGCCGAGCTCCACCTGGACCCTGGCACTGATCCTGGCGCTTCCACTGAGCCCTGACAGCTTTGAAGAAACACCAATCAGCTGGAAAGCGGCACTGATCTTGGTGCTTCCACTGAGCCCTGACAGACCTGCAGCTCCAGCCATCTCTCGCTCAGGCTTGTGCGGTGCTGCCACCGGTTCAGCTCATTCCCCTCCCCCACTACCACTTTTCTAGGATGGTCATGTACCACCTGCCAGGTGCCAATGTACCAGAGGTGGTACCTGTACCACTGGTTGAAAAGCCCTGTTCTAGGTTGTTTTTATTATTTTTTATATATGAGTTTGTCAACAGGACAATATATATATGAATACAAAATGAGATATGTTAGCCAATAAACAATATATCCTTTTTAGTAGCAAAAAGCCATAATATGACTGATGCATATTAATTATACATATTGTGTCAGCAGAGAAAAATGTATTTATGAAGCCATGTCTTTTTTAAAAAGGTCAACTGGCAAAAAGATATTTAGGAAAAGATATGCCACCATTAATATAAAGGAATGATATATAATAAACCTTGGGAATAGAATTAATAATACAGGACAGTATTTATAGATGCCACAATATACCAACAACTTAGAAATCCAAACTGAAATTTCACCACATCACCAAATCTTATGAACTTCCAGACATTTTTAAATTGTCCTAGACAACCCATGCCTCATTTCAGAAATAGTTTCTTAACTAAAAGAGAAGCAGATGGGCAAAACATCAATAGGAATGGAAGCGACTTCTGACTTCCTGCTAGCTTCTCCATTGAGTTTCCTTGTGGGAAACTGTCAATGAGCGTCAGAAATATTCCTTCCTTCCTTCCTTCCTTCCTTCCTTCCATCCATCCATCCATCCATCCTTCCATTCACCTGAAATTCGTTGTATATAACGTGTTTCCCTAAAAATGACCTGATTTCTCTTCTCTTCTCCTCTCCTCTCCTCTCCCCTCCCCTCCCCTCCCCTTTCTTATTTAGCCTCCAAAAGAAGCACCAGGTCCTATTTTGGGGGGGTGTCTTTTTCACTTTAACTCGTGGCATTGGCAGTGAGAGCCTTGCCCAGCCAGCCCACTTCTTCTACCGCCAAAGGAGCAGCTTCATTCTGCAGCTGAGAATGGAGTTCTGGTCTGCATTTCACAGTCAAAGGCCTTTTGAAAAGGCTCTGCAGCCAAGAATGAAGCCTGAATCCATAGCTCGGTTCTCGGAGGCAGAGGCCTTCTGGAAAGGCCTCTGATGGTGAAATGCAGGCTGGGAGATACAGCAGAAGAAGTAGGCTGGCAAGGCGAGGCAATTGTTGAATCATGGGAGGCCTGGCTGCAACAGATTCAGGGTGCGTGGGACAGCTCCACCCCATGCCCCCACACTAGCTTGATTTTTAGGCATGTGCCTTGCCCCAAAACTAGGGCTTATTTTGGGGAGAGGGCTTATATTGGGTCCTCCCACCACCCAAATCAAGCTAGGGTTTATTTTCAGAGTAGAAAATATTTTTTATTTTCAGAGTAGGCTCAGCCAATTTCACTGTATACATGTTATGCTTTGATAATAAAGGGTTTATTTATTATTATTAGATCTTACTTTTGTGGCAATATAGTATCTGTTTTAAATACTATCCTCAGTAATAATCCAGATGATATAACAGAAAAAACACTGGCTGGTTTACAAAGACATATAGAGGATCAGTTGAAGAAGACTTCACTAGTTAGCCCACACTCTACATATAAATCTTAGATGTGCTGTCAACCTACTCACTAGTCCAATAGTGTTATTGATAAATGCACTGCAATGGTATAACTTCAAGAATCAGGCATAAGTATCATTTATTCAGTCCTGAGGTAGTTTCAAATGGTGACTGAACAAATTTATTTGTTTGTTTGTTTGATTTTCACATATTTGAACCATCCATCTCCCTCAGAGGGAGACTGAGTTGTTAAACAAGAACTACCTATATTCTGGGAGGAAAAATATTAAGACCTTTACACACAGCTTGAAGTATTTAAATAACTCAATGACAAAAGCACACAATAGAGAGGAGAATAATGACCTTTTCCAAACATGAGATTCATATCTAATCACCGATTTAGAAATTACCTTGCTAAAAATGCAAAACAGATTTGTGGAATCAATTTAATAATTGGTGATTTATAAAGAAAACACTGCCAAACAAGAATACTCATACTATTAAACGCTTCAGCATCATCCAAGAAAGTTCAAGAGTGGATTTCTTTGTTTATATGTGCATTGCTAATAATATGGTGAGTTCTATTAGTATAATTTTTTTTGTTTAATCAATCCAGCTTAATATCTGTGTAGTTAGCAATTAAATTATTTAACCTGTTGCTAAAAGTCCCGCAATGATTTTATCAAATGCTGGTCTATACAGCTCAGCATTTGCTGTATAATTTCACTTCCTGAAAATTAATATTGTAAGCTTTTTCTTCGATTCCACAATTCTCTATGCTATACAATTTCATTAATTAATTCTATTTTAACTCTATAGTTTTGAATCCTTTCTTTTTTTAACTAGCTTTTTTTCTAGATAATATTCCTATATTTGTATTTATATTTTCATTATCCGCCTGACAGAATTTAAGACCGGTAACTTATTTTTAGAAGTTCTTTATTTCCTTGGTTTATAGTAATTATTACGAAGCTTTTCATTAAGATTTATGTATTTTTTCATTTTTCACCCTTAATACTATTTAATTGGAAGAATTAATTATAGTGAATTCAGGTTTGGCTTTTCTGCTAATTGTCAAGCTAATGAATTACCTTGTTTGGCTCCATTTTCAAAGGATCTTAATTTAATGAAAGCCATGAATTCATCTGTATTTTATGATCCATTAAATATATTATTTTCTTAGCTTTCAAACTGGTTCATATACATGTATAAGTACAGGGTGGTTTTTTTTAAGTTGTACCTGCATTGCTTTATATTTTATTATTTGATTTGTAGTTTCCTTATTTTTTCCTATCATTAGACACATTTTAAAAAGTTTAGTACTATTGAAAATGCACCTCAAACAGCAACACCTAATAAACTTAGGATAATCTAAAAAAGTCAACTAGGATCAAATCTAATTGGTACTTGAATATGATACCACAAAAAAATAACAGTGTTATAGACTAAACTAGGAAGCTGAAAAAAATCTTGGAAAAACATATGCTATTTTATTGCTAAGAAAACAACACTGAACTGTTCACGTAAGCATGAATCAAATTCTACTTGAGAGTGACTTGAGATTTTCATGATCATCTGTTCACCATGACATTGAACGAATTCCTCTGTGTTTAAGTTTACTTTGATTTTAAATTCTTGAAAAATCATTAGAACTTTGTTTGAAGAAGATTTGGGCAACTATACATGTAATATACCAGAAATTACCACTAACTATAATCCAGCAAATACAAATAGTTTGGATTTCAGTAACAAGCATAGCTTTCGGAATGAAAATTAAATTTCTCTTATTTAATTTTTAATTCATCTGAAATTTAATTAAACTTAACATAAGGAGCAAGTGGTTATATCAAATAAATAAAATATTTCAAATATACACTTTTATATATACATGTAACTAGAAGTGCCAGCTGGGACTAAATGCAGCTGCTATATTAATAACTTTGTGAAACAGCTCTGAAGAGTAATTATTCTCATTTCAGTAAAACATAGAAATTGTTTTGCTTTTGTGAACATGATTTTACAGCATCTAGAATTTTTTTGTGTTCCACTGAGATGAAAAATAATACTTGCACAACACACACGTATATAGAAGGAATATCAAATGCTCTACTCAGCATATGCCTCCAAAATTCCTCTCTTATGTCTCTTTCTTTCAAGTGTATCCATAGATACACATTGTACCCCTTCATATCAGACAGCCAGTTTTAGAATTTTCATAAATTTCAGGAGCGTGTTTTGTGTAGCATACCCAGTTGTAAAAAGGATTTAAGAAAACACATTATTGGAATTCTTCTTCAAGTATTTTGCATTTGAGTTTTTACTAAGAAGTTAGGTTATAATCCAGTGAGCAAAACAGTACTGTAGCTTCAGAAAAATATTTTTCTTCCATTCATCTTTCACTGGACAGAGATGTTTTCTCAAATGAATCGGGAAAATTGTCTCAGATGTTTGTGAATTTTTTTCCCAAAAGTCACTCTTTGAGGAGTTATAACACAGCTTAATAGAATATAAACTGCTTAACAACTGGATTTCTAAGAATGCTAATACTGCTAAGAACAATGTCAGAATCTGAAAGCTCAAGATACCTACTGACACAGAGGGCTTCAAAATATGGTGATTAGCATGTGAAGCTCCTGGCACAAAGTCAGCTGGCTGTCCCACAGTTGGATCACTACTCCTTCTAACCAAAAGTGGAGTACCTAGAAAGAGAGAAAAGAATATATTTGATTAATTAGGATTACTTTAGAATCATTCACTTTTATAACACTATATAATGTTATAGTTATAGTTTGGCCGCTTTTCCAGATGCCAGTTTAGACTAGGAAAAGCCAGTTCCAGGGATGGTGGGGGAAGATGTGGAGGAACATTAGGAGATTGCCAGAGGCTCCGAGCCACGAGCAGCGAGGCCAAGCACAGTGGAGTGGTTGCAGGAGGACAATCGATGAGCGTCCGGCTGAGCTAGGGACAGAAGAGGCACAGCTATAGCTGGGAAGCCCCAAAATTTTGAGCAGAGGAAGGGCAGCTGCAGCTGGCCATCAGAGAGGACCTGATCTGACAAGGAAAATGCAACTAAAGTCAGCCAAGCTACTTGCAAGGTAGTAGCCTCACCTCTCTTGATAGGCTGCACCGTGTAGTGGCTATTTAGCTTAGTACATGGAGGAAACGATGTTGGGAACAGCTTATCCATTTCCCTGCTGTGTGTTCTTCAGCCGCTAAGATTTTTTACTTGACCTGGACCTGGATTCTATATCTCGGACTTTGGATCATGCCTCTTGAACTCTGGACATGCCTTGCAGATTGTCTTTGCCCTGTGGATTTACGCTGGGTTTTTTTTTTGGATTAGACTATTGAATTCCTTGGGGCTTGCAGTGGTGTTGATGTAGGAAATTTCTGGGGAAAATTATTCGGGGCTTGGAAAACCTCAATAAAGATTTTTAACACCCATGGAGTGTGCTTGGTGAGCGGGACAGGATGATATTTCTACAAGTACTTAGGGATACCTTACAAAGCAATCAACTCTTGCTTTTTTTTTTTTAGTATGGAAAGAAAAACTAAAATTATTGTGAGTGAGATCTCTAAATATGTCAGAGAGAGAAAGAGAAACATGTTGTATGTCAATAAAATCCAGAATGCATAGCATACCCAGTTGTAAAAAGGATTTAAGAAAGCATATTACTTTACTGAATCAGTCATCAAGATTAACAGCCTTTGATAATCAGATTCTCTATGATTTGGTCCAATTTCCTTTTAAAAGGAATAGGTGGCAATCATCATATCTGATGTTAAAAATCAAGAGTTTTGTTATTAAGAAATGTTCTATTTTATCAGTTCTAAATATCCTTACATTTATTTTTAATGGCTGATCCTGTATTTTAATATTGTACCAGAGGGGAAATATTCACTCTCTCTCCATATTTAGAATCATGAATCCAGACAGTCTGAAATAATCATAAATAATTATTCATAAAATGTATATGTCACAGGGATTCTGGGCAGTTTACAACTGTTAACATTTAAGAACAAAAAAAAAATCAGCACAAGAGAAAAGAACAATAATTGCAAAGAAAACAAAGTCAGAAATGAACACAAAGGAAGAAAGGGGCATCAATTACCCTTGCCAAAAGGCAGGCTGAAGAGCCAGGTGTTTAGTAGTCTTCAAAATATCAGTCAGGTGGGAACTGTTTTTTTGGGGGGGGGGAGAACTTGAGTTAACTTTGCTACTGCAAAGGCGCAATTCCAGGGACCAAGTAAATGGCATTGTTTAATTGATGGAACTGCACCCTGATAACTTTGACTGAAGTGATTAGATAAAACAAGTCCATGTGAGAGAGATACTTTTAAAAAAAAATTTGGGAGAGAATATAGAATACTGGAATACATATGTATACACAGTGCTTTTTTTGTAAAAAAAAAAAAAAAAAGGTGCTGGAACTCACACGTCATGCAACCCGCCTTGCCTACCCTACAAGGTTCATCCAAAAAAGGTGCCGGACTCCATTTTGGGCGTTCTATGACCAAAAAAAGCCCTGCATATACATATGCATTTAAAATAAATGATTTGTCTTATGAATTCCATTATTAAAATTTCCTAATGTTGATCTCTCGCTATACTGTACTGATAAAATTGTCCTTTCTATATACATGAACCTTTCTCTAATAATATTTTATATGATACATTTTCATAATCTTATCTATTCTTGGTTCCTATAGCTCAGACATGTCAAACACAAGGCCCAGGGGCCGGATGCAGCCCACGAAGTGGTTTCATGTGGCCCACGAAACCATCCTGGAAACAGTGAGAGAACAGCCCCTGCTGCCTTGGCCCTGGCCTGCTGGGAGACAATATATAATTCTGTGGTGGCCATCTATGCTGAAACGCATTCAGTCTTAGCTCTACATGGCCGTCTGGAAACAGCAAGGAACCAGCCCCTGGGTGCATGGTGCATTTCTTCATTCCTCATGAAGGGTGACACCTCCTCAGTTGCATTTCTTGCCTGTTTTTCTCCAACCCTCATCTCAAATATTTTCCCACCACTCTGTACTTAGGAAGGAAGGAAAGAAGGAAAGCACCCCCCCCCCCGCATGGCCTGAGAGGAACAGTGAGGCTCCTCCAGTGAGCCATGCCTTGGCACTTGCCCTGGTCCCACCCCCTTCTGCCAGAGACCCTCAAATCTGTCCCACTCCTGCCCAGGTCCCCACAGGCACCCTTGAAGCGAATGATATAGAGCTGGCCACGCCCACCCAGAAGGCCACACCCACTCCATTTATGCCCACCCAGTAGGCCACACCCACCCAGCCTCCCCGAAGGCAACCGCAATGCTGATGTGGCCCTCAATGAAATTGAGTTTGACACCCCTGCTTCTTTATTCAACTGATTTAAATATAACCTCTGGACCCTTAGCCAACTAGCATAGTCTCTCAAACTTTTCTCTATGAAAATTATGGAAATAAAGATTGTTCATTTTTTTCATTCCTTCAAAATCAGTTCCTCAACAATCTGTATATCAGGAGATACAACTTCCTGAATGTTAAACATATATTTAGACTTGAAAATATCATAACATTGTATATGAGTAGACAGTCTATTTTTAAAATACTATTTTAGTTTTGATGGTCTTCTAAACGAGAGTCAGCTCAAGTTTGTGACAGACTATATCTTGGTAAGAGCAAATAGTTATTTTCTGAGCATTTCCATTTTATTTTAGTTTTTAAAATAAGGATACACTTTATATTGCGTCTTTATTTTAAAAAAACATCCCTGAGTGAAATTAAGTACTGCTGCATACATATTTAAGCTATTGAGCTTCAATATTTGAATCTCCAAAGACCTATGCAAGAGTCCTTTTCGTTGATTTCAGCTCAGAATTCTTTTACCATCATTCCAGATATTCTTTTCACTAAACAAAATCAGCTAGCCGTGCCTGACCATACCTGTAAGTGGATCATAAGTTTTCTAACAGACAGGAAGCAGCAAGTGAAGCCAGGCAAAATCACATCAGATACCTGTACAATTAGCACAGGAGCCCCCAGGGCTGTGTGCTCTCTCCACTTCTCTTCTCTCTATATATCAATGACTGCATCTCAAAAGATCCCTCTGTTTAAGTACTGAAGTTTGCAAATGATATAATAGTGATTGGCCTCATTCGAGACAACGAGCCTTGTGCAGCCCGAACAATCTTCAACTGAACACACTCAAAACTGTAGAAATGACAGTAGGCTTTAGGCGAAACCCTACTATTCTACAACCTCTTACAATACCAGACAACACAGTATCAACAGTAGAGATCTTCAAGTTTCTAGGTTCTATAATATCTCAAGATTTCAAGTGGACACCTAATATCAAAAATGTCATCAAAAAAGCACAACAATGTTCTTCCTGCGCCAACTCAGAAAGCTCAGACTGCCCAAGGAGCTGCTGATACAGTTCTACAAAGCAATTATTGAGTCTGTCATTTGCACCTTTATAACTGTCTGATTTGGCACTGCAACCAAACAAGACAGACACAGACTTCAGCTGGTAGTTAGAACTGCAGAAAAAAACAATTGCTACCAGCCTGCTTTCCACTGAGGACCTGTATACTGCACGAGCCAGAAAGAGGGCTATGAAAATATCTATGGACCCCTCACATCCTGGACATAAACTATTTCAACTTCTTCCTTCAAGATGATGCTATAGAGCATTGCATGCCAAAACAACTAGACACAAGGACGGTTTTTCCTCCCATGCCGTCATTCTGCTTAACAACTAATTCCTACAACATTGTCAAACTACTTAGTAAAGCTGTATTATTATTATTCTCATCTTTCCTATTATGTATTCTTATCTTCTTAGGACTATAACTTTGTTGCTTGTATTTTACAATTTATATTGTTTTTAGTATCCTAGTATGATTTATGTTGTTTGCTTAGCTAGTAGACTATGACTATCACTAAGTTTTACATCTTATGGTTTATGATGAAGTGTTCTATTTTATGATTTATGATTAATGTATTTTTTGTTTTTTATGATCATGATTTATCACTATTACTTGTATGTGCATTGAGAGCTTATGCACCGGAGACAAATTTCTTGTGTGTCAAACCACACTTGGCCAATAAAGAATTCTAAAGAATTGTAATTCAAGCAGCTAGAATCTCTTCCCTTAGAATTTGATAACTCTGAATAAAAAATCTAATTAGCATGGCAAGATATTGACTGGATAGTTATCATAGCTATCTTCAATTTTTTTTACTTATCTGACCCAGCCCACAGCCATGGAGGCTGCTGCTAGATGAAGTAGCATTTTGGCTGATTATGCACCATCAAGTCAATGTTGACTCTAAGGAACCAGAGAGTTAGATTTTCTCCAGAAGGATTTGTTCATAATCTTGCTTGTCAAGTCTTCCAACTGTGCACTCATCTCTACTGTAACTGAGCCTATCCATTTTGGTTCTGGTCACTTTCTTTCCATCTTTTATTGCATTATAGACTTTTCCAGAGAGCTAAGTCTTTGATTATTGTGAAATAAATAATTTGAGTCATTTTTTGCCTTATCTCAATTCTTCGCCAACTAGAACTAATCTCTTTCATCAGGTCCTGTCCATCCTGTGGCTACATGACTTGTATATTGCTTTTGCACTAGGACAATAAGAGGTTCTGAAATTGTCATTTTTCTAAGCACATTCCATAAGTTTACATGATCAATACCACTGTTGCCTT